TATATTATATATTATAATATATAATATATTATTATATTATATTATATATTACATATTTATATGCATTAACTATATATGCATTTTAAATGAAAGTACTATATTGCTATGCTGTATTCCATTTTACATAGCATATACTGTATATTCATTTTAAAAACTTTTACAATATGAATGTTGCTGTATTTACTATTTGTGTAACTATATATATTACCATGAGATAACGCCTATGAATATTTTTAGTTACACAGTATAAAGTACTATATAATATATTACATATTTCACTATAATGCATATAAGCACTTTAAACAATATCAACCATTATATATTACTATAATATATAATACATTATCATACATATTTATTTATAAATTACTATGAGATAATGTCTATAATAAACACACAATGTCAAGCAATATATTGTTGTATTTTGTTACAAATGTATTTAAACATAACTATAAAATAATGCAGATAGGCATTTTTAAAAACGTACAATATCAAGTATTATATTACAGTATTACAATATTTGCATATTTATATACAAGTAGTCCCCCAGTTTAAGAACAAGTTCTGTTCCCAAGGTCTGTCCTTAAGTCTAATTAGTACGTAAGCGAGAACAGTATTATTGTATAACACTGTAGAAGTAGTATTGTGTAATGAGCCATTGTATATTTAACTTGAATCACTGTGTATTTAACTTGAATTTTGCTACAAGAGGCTCCATTCTTAACTTCATAAACCGGGCATTCTTAACCCAGGGACTACCTGTATTACTATATGAATAAGAATTACTATTCAATATACTATATTACTCTTACCTATTACTCTGTTTCCTATTACTCTATTACAATTACTTATATACTATGCTCTGTACCAGGATTTCTCAATCTCAGCAACTTTAAGATGTGTGGACTTCAGCTCCCAGAATCCCAGCATGCTTAAAGTTGATACGGTTGAAAAACCCTGGCATATACTGTAGGCATTTTAAACCTGCATACACCATTATGTAGTAAATTGTCAGGCTCATTCCAAGAACAACAGGGAAACAATCCAAACAAGTTCAGTTTTTTTATTGCTTACACCATATAGACAGAATCTTGCCAGATTAAATCTGTACTACTCTAACCTA